TCCAACAAACAAACAAACAACCAACCCAGTAAACCAAAATAAATCTCCTTCCTTCATAAGTAGCTTTTCTCAGGTATTTGTTATGGTGATGTACAGCTGATTAATATACTGAGTCATATGGTTTATTAAAATAGGAAAGCAGAAAGAAATGAGATTTCAGAAATAAACCCAAGACAAACAATGAAATATGAGATGAATGTTGAGTTATTAATTCAAAGAAAGTCATGGGAAAACCATATATGAACAGGCAAATGATAACACTCAGCTATATTTGGAATATACCTAAAAAGGAATTCTCCAATTAACTAAATACAAATAAGAATGGGAAGTTTAATAAATTTAATGGTTGAAAAACTGCCCGACCTACATGGGGACACATACATACACAAATCAAGTCCAGGAAAACTGCTGACTGAGAAATGTTATATGGTAAATATAATTACAATTGTCATAGGAAAAAGCAATAATTTTACTGAAAGCATACCAATTTTAATAGAAAAATAGCCAAAAAGTAGGAAATCTATCAAAAAATTATAAACTGAAAGCAAAAACTATCAAGCATCATAAGATAATAACATAAAACTGAAATAATAAACTAATATAAAGGTATTCGGGAATGAGACATAATGATAATATTGGGATATTTTATTAGCAAATTAATCTGGATATAATATAAACCCTAAATACTGTATTATTTTATAATTACTAATTTTAAATGTGTTTTATTTAAATACTTAGGTCATTGGTGATATGTTAAGCAAATAAAGATATAATAAATCAAACTTTTGCTTATTAATTTTTTTCTTCTTTATCAACATAGATGTAAAAATCTACATATGAAAATTTCAAGACAAAACTTTACAATCTATAATTAGTTTCCTGATTTATTCAACTATTACTTCTAACTATGTAACTAAAATTGCCCTGGCACTACATCACTAATGTTGAACATTGAAAGACTCAGGTAGGCTTAAAGGCCTGGCTAGGTCTGGGTGAGGCCCAGACCTACCTACCTGTTCACAAGGAGATACCAGTAGCGACACTATAAGGAAAGTATGAGCCTCCTTAAGAAGGTAGCCCACTGACTCCAATTACACCGCTGGTTTCAGAGGAGAGCTGGTCTGAACAGGAGGCTAATAAAGAATCAGCAGTGCCTCTAAATGAAAATTTATGGTTTTACCTGCAATGTCACTAAGCCCAAGCCATTCCCTCAAAAACATTGGTTACTTTTGAAGCTGGACACACTTGGCTCAGTGCGATGGCTCAGGGCCTGAAATACCTGCCTTGCAAGCAAAGGGATCCCATAGGGGCAGCTATTTGCATCCTGGCTGCTCCACTTCCCATTCAGCTCCCTGCTTGTGCCCAAGAAAATAGCAGAGGACGTCTCAAAGCCTTGGGACCCTGTAACTGCAAGGGAGACCTGGAAAAAGTTCCTGGCTTCAGATCAATCAGCTCAGCTCAGCTTCGGCTTCTGTGCGCACTTGGGGCATGAACCAGTAGACAGAAGATCTTTCTCTCTGTATCTCATCCTCTCTACAAATCTGCTTTTCCAATAAAAAAGAATCTTAAAATAAAAGCTGGGTAGAGAAGCATAAGGGTACAGGGTCTGCATTTCTGACCCAGTAATCCTTTAACCCCCCTGGTCTGGCTCTTGGCAGCCAACGGGGCTCTTCAGAGGCTGGCTTCTGTCACTGCAGATGCTTGCTCAATGTCCTGGCTTTTCAGATTGAAAACAAGTGTCTGACTTTGTTGGGTGTCCTCGATGGTAGATCAAGGAGTAATTAATTGGCCTGACACATATCCTCACATTGCTCCTGCCATCTAGCTTCCCCCTCTTCCTCCTGGTCTCTATTACACCACAGAGTCCATCTCTAGCATGCCAGCTGGCACTCAGTCCCAAATGAGTTTAAAAACAAAAAACAAGGTTTAGAGTAGCAACTAACTTGTAGTCTTAGACACACTTGGAAGGCCCTCACAGAAGACTGAATGGATACCAATCCAGAATGCAGATTATTTATTAATCTGTTTCCCAATCCAAGACTCTGGTCGTGTGCATCAACTAACACCCTTAGTTTCATTAGCAGAACATCAGGCACCCAGGGAACAATTAGTGTACCACAAAGTTAATTATTTGGGCCTGTCCTCATTCCTGCAGAGAAAAGACCAGCCCCATACAGAACAAGCTATGCAATAAATCCTTACTTCTCTAACCTTAAGACAGCTCTAGCATTTCCTAGCAGATTATGAGTCCCCAGGTATAAGGAAATAGCAAAGTTCCTAAATCAGGCTCTCAACAGTGACTCCCCTCCTTTGGGATCAAGAACAAAATACAGCCTTCATCTAGTGTAAAGCTGCCATAACCAGGACCCCTACAATAGATTGCTAAACAAATTGCTCAAAACAGACAGACCCTAGACATGCTAACTGCTGCCTAAGGAAATATCTGTTCGAAACATGTTTTGAGGTCAAATTAAACATGTACAAAGTCTTGTTTAAACTGCATGGCCCAAGGAGAAGCAAAAAGAATACAGAAGCTATTTGGCCAAGGAAGGACAATAACCAGGATTTCTAGAACCAGATGATAGGCCAGATATTTATCTTGGTCCTGGAGTTGTCTTGCCTTGTCTATGAGGGCATATCAGGGTCAGGCCAAGGTGTCTGCCCATGTGGCAGACTGGGGATTGGCTAAATAGTATTGTCCACAGCCCAATGGTACACACAAAGGCTGGGGCCTGGGGGCTTCCTGGCTGAGCCAGGCTACAGTACCCCCCTGTGAGTGCTGGAGCAAGGGGATGGCTCAAGTCAAGCACCCACCAGAACATGAGAAAACCAAATCTTAGGACAGATTCTGTAGGAAACTTGCAGGCCTGTCCATATGGGACTGCAGCACCCACCGGTTTATGCAGAGTTGGGGGTGGTGATAAACTGAGTCTGGATGGATCACAGAATTCACCTGACACTCACAGGAGCCAGGGCTGGGGTGGGGAGAGTGCAGGTTGAGCCAGGTTGCAGCACCAACTGGCACATGCAGAGTCCAAGACTGAGGATAGACCATGCGAAGCAGGGTTGTGGCACCTGCTGGCATATGTAAGATTGTCTAGCAGTGGGTCTGGGAGAGGAATTTAGGGAACTCCCCTGCTAGAACATAACTCCCGGTGAGCACAAAAGCTGGGACTGGGTAAGACCAGGCCAGGCATGGCAGAAGCATGTGGCACCATTTGTGAAGACCAGGTCTGGCAGCAGGATGGGCTGGACCATGCCATAGCACCCTTTGGTTTGCATAAGATTGGGTTGGGGACAAACTGACCAGGCAGCTGCATGCACTGGTATGTGGGTTGGCTGGTGCAAGTGACTGATTAAACCTAATCCTGCACTGGCTGGTGCACACAGTAGTCAAGGCTAAGATCATCCCAGGCAATGTTTCTTAGAGAACTCCCCAAATGGATGACAGGACTCAAACTGGGACCGCAGGGAATAATCACAAGATGTATCAGACTTTAGAGTGCATGTAGTAGGGCTGAGCCTCCTCAGTTGCTCATGCCTGGACAGCAGGCCCAACGCACACAGGAGACATGACAGTCAGTTCATTAGGCCAGCAGAGGATGTCAAGTGCCTTATGGGAGGATGTAATTCAGAACACGTTGGACCACTCTCCTGGCCAAGTTTTGCAACATGTTCCTGGGCCTGTAGATGTACTAAGCTGCACATGGTCAGCCAATAGGCCTTGAACAGATTTTTTTAACACAGGTGGAATGAAGATGACAATATCAATGAAGATGACAAAACCACTCAAGTAACACCCTCAGCACACTTTCCCACAATAGGGTCTCTAAGGCCTCATCCAAGGACTATCTTCTATTTTCAGGTGCCAAAATAGTTTGAGAGCAAACAGTGGACCCCCACTTCCTCACCTTGTGATCACATAAGAAAAAAAAATTGAAACATTTGTCCGACCCACCTTCCTTCCTCAAACCTCATGAACATACAACTATGCAAGAAATATAAAAATAAAATAAATTTTAAAAAATGAGCATGGCATCACTGACCAAACAAAAGGAGGGTGCAAGCTCCACTGATCACCAGGAACATGGACACAATTGATCATGCACCTATCAGCTCGAATTTTAATCAGTAAGAATCTTTACCCATAACTCCTCTGAGAGCCCAGGAATTAAACAATAGTTGCGCAGTTCCTTGCGTCTGCACTTTGTAATAAATACCTACTTTTTCCCCACCCCCTGATTTCAGCGATTGACTTTCTGTGCATCAGGCAAGCTAACCTACTTGGGGTCCAACTAATCCTCCAACTAACCTGCTGCCTCCCAGGATATACACGAGCAGGTAGCTAGAACCAGGAGTGGAGATGGGACTCCAGCAGGGTGTCACCATAACCATTCAGCCAAATGTCTGTCCCTGTAATATTTTAACATTCTATTACTGCATCTCCTTTTTGAGTTTTTCTAGAGATATTATTGCAGTTTCAAGTTTCCTAATTCCAGAATATTCATCTCTGAAACGCATCTAAGGAGCTTAGGCTCTTCCATACAATAGGAAAATCACAATAATGCAAAAGAATTAATGTAGTAAAATGATTTCAACTTAAAGTTGGTGTTTTAATACTTTGTTTTCACTTTTGGGTTACATTCCAAAATCTTTAGCAGAATACGTTCATATCATTCTATAATGTTTCTTTGTGTTAAAAAAAAATCAAACACTACTGTTTTTAAAGATCCCTAATGTGTTTAACTACAACTGTATCTTTAATCACTTAGTAAAAATAGCATTCTTTAGAATAATATACTCCTGGAACACAAATATTAAAACTCCATAAAGAAAAGAACATTTATGTATTGCAACCAATATTGTAGCTCTGAATATGTACAAGCATAGCAGAAGTAAGTGTTCATTTTGCCTGACATATTAAAAGAAAACAATCAAGTGACTATCATGAAGAGGGAGGGGAGGAAGTTTTAAGTGCACCTTAATGGAAGCAAGCTTACCTGTGCCAGCATTGGGAAGCCAAGGTTCCTACACCCATTACAAGGAGTCAGAGCTTCCCAAAGACCTGAGGGCCCACACGTGTTCTCAACATCATCATCATCTTCTACCTCTCCTGGTGACAAATTGATTGTAGATGAAGTTCTCTGAAATTATATCAATATATTACATGAATGTCATTTAGATAACTATCAATGAAACTACATAAATGACTTGTGGTTTGTCTTAGCAAGCAAAACTGAACCCGAGCAGGTAACGGAGACAACCATATGTACAAATCAGCTTAAGCTGAAAAAGGAAAAACTGGCTGAGAAATATCTAAAATACAAAATTTATAATGAGTAGGATATAATAACCACCCCAAAATATTTTAGTAGCAACAAATGAGAAAAATATCACATCTTGCTTAAAAAAAAATTTAGGCATAACATTAAAATACCATAAGGAATAACATGAACTGCAGAAATAGATGTCACACAAAATCTATATTTTCATAATATCACCAAAATGAACTTCATAAAGTTTTATATTATACATGTAACAGGGATAATACTTTAAAAATTCATAGACTTCTATGTGACATAAACATCGTTTACTTTTGTTACTTCTCAAATCCCTCTACGATGAGAGTAAGATTTATAAAAATTTTGAAATCTATCAGGATGACACCAGGAGAGACACTGGCAAGTTAGGAGTATCAAGAAACATCTGGATAATGATGGGTAACTTCCGGACAAGAGCTAGGTAGATGCTACACTCATTTAAGAAACTTGACAACACTAAAAACAAAGTGCCTGTATGAAGGAAAAAAGAGAGCAATTCGCTACCTGCAAAGGTGTTTAAGTGTCAGTGGGACCAAAACATGATGAACCCAGAGCAGAAGGAGCTAAGATAGACAGATCCAGCTTTTCATCAACCCAGGCAACTAAACCTTCAGCATTGGTAAGAGAGCACAGCTTTATGTTTTTGGCGAAGATGAACCAAAGAGACTGCTTTCTACAACTACATATACTGAGCAGAGAAATGTCTCTTTAAGAAAATTAGTATCCATGTAGTAAATTGAAGAGTTCCAACCCAACAAGCCTATTTTCCTTAAAAAACATGACAGGTAGGCTTATTATTATCCCCTACATGGAAAAAGAAAGTTATAGATAATATCCTCAGGGACAGAAGACATGTGCATACAGAAACAAAAACGGAATGCTACAAAAAGCATTAAATGCATGAAATTAGAGGGTTTCAAAAGTTAAGCTAAAACATATCTGCAAACACAGAACGAAAGATGAAAACAAGGTAAAAGTGAAGAAAATCAGAGTATTAAACCAAAAAGCCCATCTAAATAGAAGTTCCCAAACTTGAGACACAGAGGGATCAAAGAAACGATTCAAGATATTTTGCTATGCTGATAAAAAATTTTACAAGATGTCAGCTGGAATTTTCCTTTATAAAGATACAAATAAAAGAGCTTCAGAATATAATGTGTAGCAAATGACAGATCAAGATTAACAAAGTTAACATGGTTTAAATATTGGATTGTAAATAGGACCTCCAAGTCATTACTTTAAAAATTTTTTTTCTTTTGCATTCACATCTTAAACTTCCCCTGTATCAGCTATAATTGTAAAATGATGAAACTGAATAGTCCTTCAATCAGTTAAGATTTTTAAGCTACATACATGATACTGAAAATGTAGGTGCTTCATAAGTGTTATAGGACTATGACATCACACAACATGATCAAGGAAACTACGGCACAGAGCAATCCAGTAACGCTCCTGGTCACGGACTTGGTAAGCGATTCTAACTGCTCGACTATCTAGCCTACTCCCCATAAACATTGTGTTCCGTGACCTTTCGTTTGGCACAATCTCTTGCAAAATATTTTTGAAAAACCAAGCTGATATAAATAAAATTTAAATAAAAGAAGTGTATTTGTGAATGTTTCTGCTACATTTTGATACTTCAGAGAACACTTTGCCATGGGTGAAGGCTGGGAAAAAATGTTCTACAATTTGGTGGACAGCAGCTCACATCTATTCACTCATTCATTCATTTCATTCATTCATTCTTTGGAGCAAGAATCTTGGGTAGGAAATAATGGGAGCTGAGCATCATGGTTCAGAAGTCCACATCTCTCCCTGGAATGCCTAGCTCTGTTTCTGGCTCTGGCTCCAGTTACCGGCTTCCCACCAATGCAGACTTTAGGAGGCAGCAGATGATGGCTCCCATGTTTGGGCTCCTACAACCCATCTGAGTATCCTGAATTGTGCCCCTCGGTGCTCCTGGCTCTCTCAGTCTCAGCCTAACCCTAGGCTTTTATGAGCCTTTGGGGAGCAAACTAGGAAATGGAAACACCCTCTCACTCTTACTTTCTGTTTTCACTGCCTATCAAATAAATAAAGCATTTAAAAAAATCTTGTCAAGTCTAAACCTGAACTCAGTGAGAACATGCATGTGTTTGATCTTTCCTGTTACAAATGAATGAAATGATCAAAGAGACATCTCCTTTACCAACTCCTGATCAGTTACTAGCTTGACATCAAAGATGACAAGGTATGGCACCTTAAATTACTATATACATGATTAAGAAATATTTTTGTTGGTGGCCGCACTGTCACACCGTGGGTTAAGCCTCCACCTGAAATACTAGCATCTCATATGAAAGAGTTCAAGTCCCAGTTTCTTGTAATGCACCCGGGTCAACAGTGGAGGAGGACCCAGGCAGGCACTTGGACCCCTGCTACCCATGTGGGAGACCCCGATGGTGTTCCAGGCTCCTGGGTTTACAATCATTTGGAGGGGGAAGATCTACATCTCCCTCCCTCTCTGTAATTTTGTCTTTCAAATAAATTATTGAATCTAAACTTTTTAAACAGAACTTTATTTTGCGATGGTAGTTCTACTGAATTATATTCAGTCAATCATACAGAAACATTCACCCATCTCTTTCAGGAGTAGAAATCTGTTTATGTCTATTCCCTGGTCATAAATTATCAATGGTTTTCCGTTGCACCTCAAGCAATATCCAAATTCTTACTTAAAGTTTTCATGAAAAAAAATTATCTTTGTCCCTTTTCTTGTTGCAAAGTCTCCCTAGATTATAACCAACTGGGAATTGTTCATCCTTGCCCAAGTGTGATTCATTTTTTGTTCGAATTTTCCACCTTACTTCTGTGTACAGCAACTTTTAGTGGTAAAAATTATGGCTCTAAGATGAGACAATTCCAAACTCCAGTTTCAAGCACTACATGATTGACTTACAACTTTTTAAGACTTATTTATTTATCTGAAAGTCAGAGTTACAGAGAGAAGGAGAGACAGAGACAGAGAGACACACAGACAAAAGGATAGGGTGATCTTCCAAACACTGGTGTACTCTCCAGATGGCTTCAATGCAATAGTCAGGGCTGGGCAAGCCCAAAGCCAGGAGCCAGGAGCTTTCTCCAGGTCTCCCGCATGCGTAACAGGGGCGCAAATACGTGGCCTGCCTGTTGCTGTTTCCTCAGGTCATTAGCAGGCACTGGGTGGTAGCTTTATTTGCTATGTCACTCTGCCACAATGCTGGCCCATTGGTTGCATGAATTTGAGAATGTATGCTCAATGTCAGGATAATTTGCCTTACCTGTACAGTGGAAATAGCAGAGTAGAACCCCCTGGAGTGATTTCTTTGATAATTAAATGAGGTAATAGATATAATCACCATTTTAGCTATTATTTTCACATAGTCCCACTAGTTCAAAAATATATCTCGTATTTCATCTCTTACATAAAAGTTTCCATAAGGCCACAAACAATGTCACTGTTCTCTAAATGTCGACAGCTCGCTTTGTAAGCATATATGTGACAATACATCACATATACCTTAAAATGACAGTGGTGAAGAGCATCAAGCTTGAAGTCAAATAGGTATTAAGACCTACTTCTGTCAGCTCTAAGCTGTGTGACTTTGAGCACCTCACAGATCTTATCTATCCTTAGTTGCCCTATCTTCAGCGTAGAATAACAATTCTTATGTGCTAGTGAGGTATGAAAGACAAAATTAACTGCATACAAGGGTCAGCACTGAAAATAATAGCTTTTGCTATGTTTATTATCTTTGTTCTGAAAGAGTTACACACAAGCACACATATGCACACACACATATCTTACTGTACATAAATTATTTTAAAGAAAATATTGCCTTACATCTGTGTCTCTTATAATGTATTATAAATAACGGGAATGAATGGAATCAATGAGCTACAACCAATCATTTTCATTCAACTTTCTAGCACATTCTATCAGCATTAATGGGTGTATTTAATTCTGTCACAAATATCATGACTGCTATCTTAGTTTTACATTCACCATTACCAAGAGCTTTAGCAGACATGAAGGAATTAATCAGTGGTTTAGTAGTGCCCCCTAAAGATAGTACATGAATTGGCTGTGTAAAATCATATTTTGCTTCAATTCATTATAATTAAAGAAGCATCAGAAATAGTTTATCAAACTGAATACAATCTTTAATTATATGTCATAAAGAAACCACATGAACACACTTGAACTCTGAGGGTTTTCCCTGTCTCAAATGTCTTTTATACTTTTTACTGTGTATCTGCATTCTTAAAGCTCCAGAACATTCTTCTACAGAGAATGCAATGAAGCCCAGAATAGAGATTAGATTTTCTGATTTTTACACAGAGATTATACAGAAGAAAAACCAAACCAATTCTATATTACTGCAAAGGAAAGATAAGTCACAACACATCAAAAACCCTGGAGAGACCAACTGGAGCTCAAACAAAAAATTCTTTCTAGAATAATGATATCAGCCTATTTTTCTTTTTTAAGAAAATGAGACCTCTGTATAAGATGGAGGGTTTGTATGTACAAATTCTCTTACACAAGAACACTTCAAAGGAAAGATTTGTGGAGAAAATGAAATTAAAACACAAATGTATCTTGGTACAAAAAACTAAACCCACAATTTTTTTTTCACAATATACTTTCTCCTCACCTTTGTGAAAATAGCTTTGTATGCAGTGAATTTCAAAACAGTGTTGCAGCAAAATGCATGTATTTTTACAACATTTTATTTCTCTTAACTGTTTTAAAGTTTTTAAATTAACAAAACAAAATGCTTAGTGCAAAGAACTCCCACAAA